AATCGTTAGTTTCTTCGTCCGTTTTGGAGCTGCTTCCTCTTTGACGTTTCCTACTTCTTCCTCTTTTGGGTTCATTAGGTTTTCCACCATCTTCAGGCATTTCAATGGTTTGCTTCGGAAACGTGCATGATCACTTGTTACTCCGCCATTTCAAGGAGCAACAAAAAACACGTCCTACCACTAGCACGTTATGTATGTTCAACCTCCATGTTTGTTACTAGACGGCTAGTCACAGAATCCTAGCTAAAACCTTGATTCAATGCATGCCAAGAAGGAATATTATTACGAGGGGAATGAATAAATAAAATTTATATTTCCCAAACAAAAAAATGCAAAAATGCCACATCAGTTAGGCAATAGCACTTAAATGTGTCTGATACTTGGTTGTGTTTTCCCCGGAGTATAATTTGGACAGGAAAGCAAAACGACTGTGTGAAAGATGAAAAATATTTGTTTGAAGCCTCCTCCAGGTAATCAGATTGTGGCGAGTGTCAAGATTAAGATTGCGAGAGTAGAAAATCCAGGTACCCTCTCCTCCCCCCCGCCGCCTCGCCAGAAAAAAATAAAAAATCCGTACAGGGGACTTGACTCCGTAAAAATTTCCTGCAGAGGCAGTGAAGGCGAAATAAAATTCCTGCAAGCCGAAGAYGTCCCACCCACCCCACCCCTTATCACTTTCATAATCAGGGTGGGTCCCTAGTGAACGTTTCGTTCTCAAATCTTTCAACGTGTCTGATCCGAAACACTCAATCAAAATCACCGATGGTTCCGATTGCTCACCCATCTTGCAATGTAATCAAGAGCGTAACTTGCACTCTGTAAATAATGATATAAACCTCAGTACGTTGGTGTGACGGGTAGAACTGAATTAGGCTGTGTTTAACTTAAATCTATCCAGGACGACCCACAAACAGACAGAATTTTTTACTCACCACCACTTATTTCCCTTAAACACGACAAGAATATCGGCAACTGTTTAGCCAAGCTCTCGCAAAGTTGAAGAATAGCCAGAAACGTTATTTTAAAAGCTCTCGCGCGCGTGATCTAATACTTCTCGCTTTCTTCTGAAATCTGTCAACGTGTCCGGTCCGAAACACTCAATCAAAATTACCGATGGTTTCGCTTGCACATCCATCTTGCAATGTCAGTCTACTGCATAAGCTTGCACTCTGTAGAAAATGCCTTATGTTAGTGGAACGGGAAGAAGACTGATAACCTTCAGTATCATCATGATCAACCCTGATCATGTGAATATGTCGAAAACGTTGGGTTTTACAATAAATTTTCTTTTCCAGTTTTAAGCGTCATACATATAAATTTACCTTCGCAATCTTTTACCATTTTCGAAAATGACAAGAGTTTTTAGGTTCTCACAATTTTTCAAAATATCTAGCGTTTTAATGTCAACGTTTCGAAACCGTTACAAACTCTGGCCGACTGTTTATGTGCTATAACCATACATTACATTACATTACATGCTTGTATACAATGAAGACATAATTTACATATGCGGTTACACATGCAGTCACTCCGTTACAGGCCTGGCTCCATGAATAGGATCGTATCCAAAGACTCAAATGGATATCTATACTTTTATTGTAGCAGGGCGATTAGTTACACAAAAATCTCAAACAAATACACCTTTGAGTAATAATTTTTTTAACACTTTATTTATAGGGATAATTGAATAACTCATTAACCAAAGATTATTTCAAATTATCAACAAGTTAGCTTAAAGGAAAATAATGATACTGATAAGATATCATACAAAGTACGATCGCTTAGCAATATTTAAAAGCAAGCAAGGCAAGCAAATAGAGTCAACCAACAGGGTAATCTTTGTTTGCAATATTGTACATAAGCATGAGCACTTCATTTACTGACCGAGCTACAAAAATATCAACTCTGAATATTGAAAGGTCATGACACAGCAGACTATATCAAGGAATTGGTCAGAACACTTATCCAAACTTAATTTTATGGCAATCGCAGAGCTCAGTCAAAGCAAAACGAAAACAAATACTCTGTTTACAAAGTCAGTCCAAACTTTTCTAAAGCCATTAATTTGCTAAGCGATTTTTCTTACGTGCAGTTTAATACATTGTCATCAGTGGAAAAATAATTGGAAACCGTTATTTGACGTGAATTTTAGTTGGAATTCTACAAAAAATTTAGATTCTTCCCTCTCGATTTCTACCAAGTGATAGTTGATTCGACCATAATTAGCTTCGGCCTCATCAGCTATCACCTCATAGAGCCTGATCTCGAGCTCATAACCTTATTGTGAAATATTTGAGTTATGTTAGCACTCGCATACCTAAAGGAAACAGACTTTATGACGCATTCTTCATTCGACGCGCCCAAAATTCTTCCATGGTCGAGACAAGTCAAAGATTCAATGCGGAAATTGGCAGAACGCCGAGCCGTTTAGTGTTTGATTTGCTTTTACTCCAGTAATGGCAGGAAAATACACAATCCATTAGAAGGCTACAACCAGAATCACGGATCTTTGTGGTCAGGAGTGTGGCATTTAGCCTGCGTAGCAAGCGTTTCCGTGGGGTTTGGGAGTAAAGAAAGACCGAGGAACGGGATTTTCGGTGTTTTGCCCGCGCGAAAAATGGGGCGAGAGCCAAAAAACGAAAGACGGGGTGGGGGAGGGGAAGGAAGGAAACGCTTGCAGACAAACCCCTGGATTTTGAAAACCTTCGTTCGCCAGCGAACGGAGCTCGTGATTGGCTTGGCTTGTGGAACATTATTGACATGTGTCGATCCCACTCCCCTCTTTCGGTTTTTGGCTCTCGCCCCATTTTTCGCGCGGCCAAAACACCGAAAATCCCGTTCCTCGGTCTTTCTTTACTCCCAAACCCCACGGAAACGCTTGCTACGCAGGCTATGTGGCACTGTTCGGCTCGAGCGGCTTGCAGGTCAAAATCTTTGTGATCTCCAGTTTTAAGCAAACGGCATTTTACAAGGTTGATTTAAAGGGTCTTCAAAACGCTCATGTGCCATATCTAAAAGGTTTTCGCTACTGGCCCATATGGCTGATGAAATAGTAGCTACAAATGCCATTAAAATGTGTCTTTTCCATCTTCTTTGCCAAACAGCCATGACAGCTATATTCTGATAGCGAGTCTCGATCGCT